AACATTTTATAACAAACATCCTTTCTTTCTGCCATTCCCTTAACTACACAGCTGGTGTATAGTGGGTACCCCAATGCATTTTAATAGTCTAAACCTATAGGCCCCAACCCCTGGGCCTCAAATCAGTATCAGTCTATGGCCTGTTAGAAAACAGGCCGCACAGGAGGTTAGCAAAGCGTGAGCCAGCAAAGTTTCATCTGTATTCACAGCCGTCCCATCACGAGCGTCACAGCCTGAGATCGCCCCCTATCACAGCAGTGTGGCCCTAGACGTCACAGGAGCAGGGACCTGCTGTCACCTGTGGGTGGGAGGGATGGAGGTTGTGAGCTCCTCATGAGATTCTAATGCCTGATGTCCTGAGGTGGGCTGAGGTGGTGACGCACTGGAGAGTGGTTGCAAATACAGATTATCCCTGGCAGAGAGGTCTGAATGCACGGAGAACACAGTACTTCAATTGCAGACTCACATCAAAACCATCCTCCCCACCAGCCATGGAAAAATTATCTTCCGTGAAACCAGTTCCTGCTGCCAGAAGAGTTTGAGACCACTGGTCTGAACCAAATGTGACCAGGAAAATAATTCTGTTAAAAATACTACCAGTTTGGGAGGCGCCTGTGGGTCGGTGAGTAGGGCGCCAGCCCTATATACCGAGGGTGGTGGGTTCAAACTCAGCCTCCGCCAAACTGCAACAACAACTAAAAAACTACCAGGTTTCAATGAAAAAGAATTTGTTTATAAATTACTTAGTATTTTATAACTATTTAATTACCTCTTACGTGTCTTTTTATTCGACATTACAGAAATAAAGATGGTCTTACTGGGTTACACTCATTCGGGACATTCACAGGAGAGATGAAAAAAGCATTCTGTGACTTACATCTTAAAAGAAAAGAAAATTTAAACATTAGCATTAGAGTCGGTCTCTTGGCTTTGGCATTTAACAGTCTCTTGCATGCATCAAATTTACTTCTCTGTGATTTGTGATGTAGTTGTGATAAGCCTGGCAGGGCACACACTGCCTCTCTGGTCTGTATCTTTTCTGGTTAAGGAACACAGCTCAAAAGTACTGCATAGGGTACAGATATGAGCAGAACTAGTAACAGCTCTTCCTAAACAACACGTGACTATATATTATGTCTATTCTATGAACCGTTGTGAAATAAAGGGACAATTTGCTAGTCTTTTCTCTTCCTGTTTATTTTATACAGATTAAAATTCCCTGTAGTTTGAACTTGTTTAACCGCGGGATGTAGCTTATGGCATTAAGTTTGACAAAGGACAACAATGAAATTGCTTTAAGGAAATATGTAAACATATTTATAGAGGCTGCATGAACCATAAAGTTTGCTCATTACGAGTGAAAAGGAGAGAGAAAGTGCTCTGGGGAGGGTGGAAATTAGCAGTGACGGCTCTCCTGTCAGAATTCAGGGTCTCGGACCAGACTACAGATCGGGAGGTCATGAAGAGGGGTTGGCACGGCTGCCGTCATACAGTTCATTATTTATGATCTCGTCACGGACAGGAGGGAAGGGCGTGTTCTGGGCCTGTGTTTTTAGATCACTGAGGACTATTTTATAGCAGCAGATTTTTCTTGCCAGAATAATCCACAAGATCATCTGAATACTTTTCCTCCTTTTCCTTTCTTTCCTGCAGTTTTGTACTTAATGAGTTGGAAATACAAATTGCTCATACATTTTATTTTTTCCTCTCCACCATTAAATACAAATGTAACCTCTGTAAGTTGACCACATACAGTCCCCACTTTGGGACTGTGACGAACTGGCCAACCTGTGGACGTGTCGCGTGGGAACGAGGCCTGCTGTAGGTCACATAGGAATACACCAATGGGTACTTTGGGTGTATGTCCTGTCCATGAAAATTAGGTCAGTTTAAGGAGGTGGTCAGTGTAGGGAGGTGGTCGTCTATGGTGGTTCTACCTTATTCAAAAACGTCATTCAGATAATGCATTGCACATGATTTTCTATAGTGAATCCAGAATCTGTTTCACCACTTTTTTTCTTATAATGTGCCTTAAAATACCAAGAAGTACAATTATAGGTCATTGTTCGGATTTTGTATGTAATGCAAGAGCATCCACTGAGTATTCATTATGTTCCAGGGATCGTGCGGTTGTGAAGAATATAGTGGTGTGCTTGCTTCTTAGATCCTGTTATTTGTTTGTTTATTCAGTGAAGGGAAGCTTCTAGAATAATAATTAGTTGCAGAGACCAGCCAATCCTAAATGTGGCTAAGCTTTTCAACAACAAATTATGTCGTCTTGCCGGGTTTTGTGATGGGAGTATGATTTGTGTGTTCTTGTTTCAACTTACATTATAGGACTGTTTTACTTCAGTCTTGAAAATATCAAATAAGTGATGAATGAGTTACAGCCAGTCATGACATGAGCAGGACCATAATAATTTTCTCCAAAGCAGACCTGCCTAATAAATCTTAATTTCAAGGAACCAGCCAATAATAGAGGCAGGCTTTACTGATGCTGCAGTTTATGCCAATTTCTCTAAAATTTCGCCAGGAATGAGAGATAAAATCAAAATATTATCCAATGACAGTTGAAATAATAGAGGTTAAAGCTCTTCAAAAAGTGAAACTTTCCGTTAAAGTGTAGGATAATATTTATAAAATATAATAGATGCCTTATCAATAGTATTTATTCCTGTCCTATTTCCCTCATTTAATATTTATTGAAGAAAGAAGTAATGTCAGAAGTTAGGATATTTGTCATCAGATTTAAGCTTATCAGTTAGATTTATGTGAAAGAAGACTAAAGGTCCATTAGTGTACATTTCTGTCAATGTAAATACTGCTGTATGGAATTCTCAAAAGGATATATACTGTGTTTCCCTGAAAATAAGACTTACCCCCCAAAAAAGCCCCAGCAGGATTTCTATGCGTTTGTTAAATATAAGCCCTACCCCATAATAAGACCTAGTGATGGGCGTGGCTATGCATTTTGGGCAGAGCATAAGACATCCCCTGAAAATAAGCCCTAGTGTGTCTTCTTGAGAAAAAATAAATATTAGTAAAATGAGAGATTTAAAATTTGATAGTCCCATTGGCAACTTCTTAAGCACTAAATATATATACCAGTTTTTCTTTTTAATGTGATTGATACTGAAGATTCAAATGAGGTATGGAGAAGATGAGCATGGTGGCTCACACCAAGAGTCCCAGCACTGTGGGAGGCTGAGGCAGGACGGTTCCTAGAGTCCAGGTGTTCAAGACCAGACTGGGTAACATGGCAAGGCCCTGTATCTACCAAAAAAAAAAAAAAAGAAAAAGAAAAGAAAGAAAGAAAGAAAGAAAGAAAGAAAAGGGAAAAAAATTAAATTAACTAAACTAGGTGTGATGACACATGTCTGTATTGTCTCAGCTACTCAGGAGGATCCTTTGAGCGCTGGCATTTTAGGTTGCAGTGAGTTGTGCTGGATACTCCACTCCAGCCTGGACAGCAGAGTAAGATCCTGTCTCAAAAACCAAACAAACAGAAAAAGCAGTTATTAGACAGAAATGAGTATGGTTTTGACAATCGAAGACGTGTGAACTTAGATTACAGCACAAAACGTTCACCCAAATGTAATCACCCTAACGGTATTTCTCTCCTGGTTTTGAAACTTTCGTGGAGTTTTTAATTTCTTTATTATGCATAATATCTCTGTTCATTCCTTCCATAATTGGTGATTTTCTTAAGCTTGTGTGACCCATTTTCCCCTGACATTTTTCTTCGGTCCCATTTTCACATTAGGAAGTGCGACAAACATTTCTAAGATAAAGAAGGTGCCTCTTGATGAATTTTGTGGATAGGTAGTATGTTACAACTCCCCAGAATTTTCATGGACCTGATCAATACCTTAAAATAATAACAGAAACTAATTTGAGAGGAACATAAAGATAATGCGTCTGAGGGTCTCGATTTACTTTTATAAGTGTGTGTTGACTCAGTTAAGAATTTCAGAAAAGGCCAGAGCCAGTGGCTCATTACTACATCAGCTTTCTGATAATTGATTTTTCCTAAACACAGTATTTTTACACAATAATATCAAATATCAATGAGTAGGAAGGAGGGATTTTCTTTTTTTTCTTTTTTTTTTTTTTTGAGACAGCGCCTCAAGCTGTCCCCCTGGGTAGAGTGCGGTGGCATCACAGCTCACAGCAACCTCCAACTCCTGGGCTCAAGAGAGTCTCCTGCCTCCGCCTCCCAAGTAGCTGGGACCACAGGCACCTGCCACAACACCCAGCTGTTTTTTGGTTGCAGCTGTCATTGTTGTTTGGCGGGTCCGGGCTGGATTCGAACCCGCCACCTTAGGTGTATGTGGCTGGCGCCTTAGCCAGTTGAGCTATAGGCGCCGAGCCTGAGGGAGGAATTTTCTTCCGTAAATGGGTTCATTCAGGGTAAGAGCATTCTGAGTTGATGTGTAGTCTCAGGAGATGCATCTCTTATAAGACTGATGAGCTGTGGAAAGTCCTAGGTCTTAAGAAACAAGTTGGAGTCTAGTTTCTTCCCAGATCCTTTCTTTGAAACGCATAAAAGCTAAGCTATTATGTAAATTCCGTAGTGATGTAAACTCTAATATTTACAAGTGAGCCTAGCCAAACTATATGAAAGCTTTCTGTGTATAATTGCCAACTTGCCTTTCAAATGGAAATAGTGTTCTTATTATGAATATTGCATTTCCTGTGTTTACAGTTTGGAATGGTGTATTGATTGAATCTTAGTTGATAATTTTCAATAATTGATTTTTTGTCCATTTTTAAAGTTCATGCTGTGTTTTAAAGCTGATAACATGATTTTTTTTAAAAAATGATTGTATTAGAGAAAATGGGTTTTATGAAAACCTATAACATTCAATAAAGCAAGTGTGAGTGAAATAAATTATTTACTTTCAGTTTGGAATTGGTGAATAAAATAGTGCTTGGCCAATACCGTACCATTAATCTATTCTCTTTTCTTCTTTCTCTCTTTACTTCTCTCTCTCCAATAGAAGTGGAACAAAAAGGTAATTAAATACCTTTCCTAAATTATATATTATTTATAGGCTAAGTTATTTAACAGTTTAACATTTAATTAAAATAATTTTGTTAATCATTCTTCTCTATTTTATGAAAATTTATTTACTACCTCTGCTGCTCAACTTTAATCTGTGTTACTCACCAGCGCTGATCTGATCCTTCTATTTTAAAATAGTGGAATAGTGTGAAACTTTCAACCCTGTCTTTTATTTCCCTTTATTTTTAAGTAGTTAGAAATCCAGTAGCTGGCCATAGAGAATGATTGGTTTTTATTTCTGTACTAGATCATTTTCTGTAGCTCTGGTGCATTAATTTTTATTTTAATTCCTGGGAGAAAAGAGGAGACAGTTTTCTGAAGTACCCGGAGTCAAATTACTTTAGTCATCAAGGACTGATTATTAACCTTCACGTAAAAGTAATACAAAATTTTGACAACTGTGGGTACCTATCTTGTATAATTATGGCCGTCACATTGAAAATCTTAACACATTTTTATGATCATCAAGATTATTATTAATAATAAAAATTAGGCTGCTGATATGTATCTTTACTGTGGAAGATTTTCCCCAAAACTGTTCATTTCTTCAAAAATAATACTTTGGGCATTTTCATGATGTACGTTATCTAATAATGTACGTGATTTTGAATAATCTCCGAAACCTAGCTGAGTTTCGTCTCCCTATAGGATGTTTAGAGTTCAAAAGCTAATCGCTGATGCTGAAAGGATAATCCTTTAATCATTAAAAGAAAATGTGTCAACATCCAAATTATTTGTGATTTGTTCATTTCTCCACACCGAACACTTAGAATCATTTAACACCTCACAGTGGGCTGCTTGATGATTTTTCAGTGTGTTTGCTTTGCAAATATCTTAGAGCAGAGCTTCCCCCAGCAGGGTCAGCAGAGCACTGTACTCCAAAGAGGCTCTGTAAGAAGGTTTCCGTGATTGAATTACTTTGCAAACTCTGCTCACCCTCCCCCCTTGGAGATTCACTAATGCACCTAAGCTATTAGAATCTCTGCCACAATTATATTCAACATTCTGTTTCTTAAACATGTGTGAGGAAAGATCCCTTTGTTCTTTCTCGGTACCATCTAAATACACTACTTGAATCAGGTAATCCCAGGACCACCCTTTGGAGAGCATTACTTGATAGACGCTTCATTCCAAATGAATCAGCCAGTCAGTCTTGCCACCACTCACTCACACACTACGCGACTGAATCGTCCTAAAAAATCAAGTGAATCAAATGATTCCGGCCCACGTTCATTCCTACGTATGAGCAGCAAAATATTGTAGCCAGTAATCCTGTTTTTTTAATGCTTTTCTCATGTTAACAGTAAAAGATACGTGTTTTTAAGTTCCAATACTACTGTTCTTAACAGGACATTTTTAACTGATTAAAATCTAGACCTCTGGTTCTTTTCTGTAACCTTTCGCCTTTCTTTCTTTCCTTTTTCCTTCTTTCTTTTCTTTTTCCTTCTTTCTTTTCTTTTTCTTCCTCTCTCTTTTCTTTCCAGTATCCATCCATCATTCATTTTTAATTGTGTGGGTTGCATGCTTTGTGTGTGCTGTAGCCGCTTTGAAAGCCTTTATGCTAGAAGATCCAGTGGCCTGTATTACACTGCTTTTGTTTTCCTTTATTTAAAAAAAAATTTTTTTTGGATGAGATAGCCATCTATTTCTTAATGATAACTATTGAAGGCTAAAATCCTCAGAGTGGAAACGTTTTTACTTCCAAATGAGATATGTTCTTTAGTGAACTAACAAAAACACCGTATATCATTTTCTGTTCTTTATCTATAGAATACATAAGCCTAGGTGACATCTGACACATATATGTAGAGATTTTCTGACACGTTTACAAGGGTAAACATCACAGGGAAACATAGCTACTCAAAAAAGAAAAAGGCTTAATATTTTTGGTAAAGGAAATCAAAACGATTTTGAAAAAAAGCCAAAATTAATGTGGAAGAATACTTTGGGTCACCCGCCCCCAAAATGCAGCAACATAAGTGGGGGGGTCTCTTGTTAGTGTTGCATTCCATTTGGTGAAAAATAATCTCTAGGAAAAAAATACGAAATTAATGTATTTATTATTTTAACTCTTTTCCCTTCCAACAGTTTTTCTTTGTCCTGGACTTCTAAAAGGAGTGTACCAGAGCGAGCATTTGTTTGAGTCTGACCACCAGTCTGGGGCGTGGTGCAAAGACCCTCTGCAGGCTTCTGATAAGATCTATTATATGCCCTGGACGCCCTACAGGACCGACACCCTGACCGAGTACTCGTCCAAGGACGACTTCATTGCTGGACGGCCGACCACCACCTACAAGCTTCCTCACAGGGTGGACGGCACGGGGTTTGTGGTGTACGACGGGGCTTTGTTCTTCAACAAGGAGCGCACTAGGAACATAGTGAAGTTCGATTTGCGGACGAGAATAAAGAGCGGAGAGGCCATCATCGCCAATGCCAACTACCACGACACCTCGCCCTACCGCTGGGGAGGCAAGTCTGACATAGACCTGGCCGTGGATGAGAACGGGCTGTGGGTGATCTATGCCACGGAACAGAACAACGGCAGAATCGTCATTAGTCAGTTGAACCCTTACACCCTGCGTATCGAAGGGACGTGGGATACTGCCTATGATAAGAGGTCGGCTTCCAATGCGTTCATGATCTGTGGGATTCTGTACGTGGTCAAATCCGTGTATGAGGATGATGACAATGAGGCCACGGGGAATAAGATCGACTACATTTACAACACGGACCAAAGCAAGGACAGTGTGGTGGACGTGCCCTTCCCCAATTCCTACCAGTACATCGCGGCCGTGGATTACAACCCCAGGGACAACCTGCTGTACGTGTGGAATAACTATCACGTCGTGAAATACTCTCTGGACTTCGGGCCTCTGGACAGTAGGTCGGGTAAGTTCCACTTTTGATGGTGCCTTCTGGGTACATATTTAGTTTGTTCTCAATCAGTTTATTGTGCATTTTGATTCAGCTCCTTCTGGTCTTTCTTCTTGCCTGTGCAAGAAACCCTGAAATGTTCATGAGCTTTGCATCTGAGGAAGGGATGCTGTGTAACACTTTCATCCTTAAAAACGCGTAACCACGAGAAACTCCTTTGCTTGGGTTCCCTCCAGTCTTTAGCCCTGTGTCTTTTAAAGTGATTTGTCTTTGTTGGCTGGTTAGTTCTTGGTCTGCGTGGCAAAGTGCGTAGAACTTTTGCTAAAATAAGACGGTGTCACCCTGTGTAATTAATTATGAAATGCCCGCGGACGTGCCATCTACTTGGGACGTGTCAAAGGGTTACCTTAATATCATGCTCCGGGAGCTGGGGACCAAAATACTCATGTCACAGAGAGCACGAGGTGCGACCTGCCTCACTAGGAATACAGTATGTTGAGTGCACCTGTGCCCCTGTGACCCTCCCTGGCATAGAGGGTAAGCGGACAAGTGCAGTAATAATGAATCTCGGTTTTTCTAAGAAATGAGGATGCAAAACACGGCTTTGAGTAAGTTTGAGATATTTTATGGCAATTCTTTAAAAATGCCCTTTTCCCCTCCGGAGCATTCTCTGCCCTGTTTATGTTGTATAAAGAGAATCAAAAATAGCTTAGATATCTTCTTCATTTTTATTTACACAACTGAGCACAGTTACCGCAATGTAAAAGTTAAATTTTGTAATTAGCCGTGATAATGTCCTCCAAGGTACTGGAAATGTACGATTTCAGTGCCTGAGTTTAGACAGGAATATGGCATTTCAGAAATTAAATTATTTTTGTCATAGAGTTTAGTTGTTAATATTTCCTGTTTCTGCCTTATTTTTCGCATAACTTGCACTCACATACAATTCTGGATTCTAAGTGAGTGCTCAGTATTCACATCTTCATACAGAATTAGATGCTAAGTATTTTATGGGCAGTGACCTTGCCTTTTATTATATTTTTATGTATTTTTACCAGAGCATGATTTCTGTTTTCTCTGACTTTAGTATATCACATACACATAAATAAGGCTTAATGACTTTTGTTGAAGGAAGGAATGGCTTTCTGCTCCTTAACTTCTTATTCAGAGAGAATGATAAATTAGTGGCATTTTCTCGGATCCCTGAGAGGCTTCAGTCAGAGTGGCAGTACTTCTTTCCACAACCAGTAATGCTGATATTATTTTGAACTGGCTTTTATGAAAGGGAGAGCCTAAATATACAACAACAACAAAAGCAATTTCTCCCTACTAAAGCCTCCAAAATTCTCCTAGACCAGCTCCATTATCTGGCCTGCTGCTGTACAGGTAAGATGTTATTTGTGTTGTGTTTTGTTTGTATTTTTTTTAACCTAATACACTCTGGAATTTAAAATCTGAACAAGAGTCATACATCTGAGTATTCTGGAAAGACAGCTTTTTCAGATAGGTGACATTCTTAAACTAAAATTTATAATTCAAGGCGGGGCACAGTGGCTCACACCTGTAATCCTAGTACTCCGGGAGGCTGAGGTGAGTAGATTGCCTGAGTTCACGAGTTTAAGACCAGTCCGAGCCAGAGCAATACCCATCTCTAAAAATAGCCAGGCATTGTGGTGGGCACCTGTAGTCCCAGCTACTTGGGAGGCTGAGGCAACAAGATCACTTTAGCCCAAGGGTTTGAGCTTGCTGTGAGCTGTGATGCCATGGAACTCTACCAAGGGCAACAAAGTGAGACTCTATCTCAAAAAATAAAATAAAATAAAATATTTATATTTCATTAGTGTACACTTTGTTTATGGATGGCCTTTTTTGACATTAACCAGAAGAGGAAATAAATTCTAATTGCCTCAAAAGAAATAATAAATAATAACGCATCATGTTTTCTGGTTAATCAGTGAATAAGGGCAGTAGCATTTCAAATCATATTTATTTAAAACATCACAAATTATTTTTATTGATAATAATAGGTTAAAATTAATTAGCATTCTAGGTTTTAATTTGACAAACTGAAGAAAATTTTGACCTTAGTTTTATTGAATGATTCTTAAATGAGTAAAATGGTATAGTCCTGTATGTATATAGGACTTACAAAAATATTCCTAGCATACATCAATAAACTTATGACTATGTGTATATACTCTAGAGAGAGAGAGAGAAGAAGATCATTGTAATTGTGGATGTAAGAAAACATACACTCAATTTTATTCATTATTGTTGTTTGTTTGTGGGAGTTAAAATATGGGCCGTCTTGCCCACCCGTGCTGTTAAAAGGGTGTTATTGGAAGTGGCAAACATTGACAGGTGATAAACGCCAGCTTTCGAAACCAATTCCTAGTTTAAACCAGGAGATTCTGTTTCACTCTTTTTGAACAATGACAATTAAAATTTTTTTTTTTAATTTTGTTTTACAAATAGTGAGATTTCACCTGTATTTAATTTGTCAGTTCACAAAAAAAGTATCAGTTTTCATGCATGAACGCTCAGATTAAAAAGCTGATTTCTTAGTGTGGACTTGTGGTTTACCAGGGGTGTAAAGAATGAGGAAAGAAGTGAATTTTATGGACATCCGTTGTGTGTGTGGATAGAAGCTCAGTCAGCCTTAATAGAGGCTGTTCATGTTACTCCACACAAACAGTGTCAGCTGGGGGTTTTCTTCAGTGAATGACATAGACACCGTTCAATGAAATTGTGTTTTGTGGACCTTTCTTGCCATCTTATTCTGGATCGTCTGTTGTGTCTAGGTACAGAAAGTCTAGACTTATTACTAATAGGGTCAGACACTATCCTGCTCTGCACACTCGATGTATATCTGCTGTCGCCGTCTGTTGGTAGCAGGCTTTTTGCTCTGATTGTAACTATATTCCAATCAATGGAAATTCGTCCTTTTGGGAAGTTTTATGTAAAGAGATATCCATGTTTTTAATTCAGCTGTATATAACGCGTCTGTACATCAACAGATCTGGTGTTGGGGGATAAAAGGCAAATGTGTTTCTCTTGAATGTGTAAAAGTGCTCTGGTGATGTTTGCACGTGGGTAGCCCAAGCTTATGACCATGACCTTGGGAGTCTGAGGATCTGGCTTTGAATCCTGCTTCTGTCTGTTGTTTGACTGGAGGCTCAACCTCAATTTCCTCCACTATATGATGGACAAAGCACCTGTCTCAGAAGCTTATTGATAGTTTAAGGAGATAATACGTGCAGTGAGCAGGATGAAGTCGATATCCACCAAGTTTGCAGGACCAACATTATGGTCCATGTTTTCTAAACACAGGACCTAAAACTCTACGCTGCGAAGAATGTTAAAAACTCCCCCAGCTCTTAGTGCCAGGCGCTCTCTAGATACAAATATACTCAACTTTCACACTACTTGTTAATTACCATGGATGATTTGTACCCTAAAAAATGGGACAACTGTTTAATTTTTTTTCTTTTTTTTGCAGTTTTTCACCAGGGCTGGGTTTGAACCCACCACCTCTGGCATATGGGGCCGGTGCCCTACCCTTTTGAGCCACAGGCGCCATCCCAACTGTTTAATTTTTATGTTAAGAACATGTTTATGGTTTTCAGTTGACAAATTTTAGAGATTTTTTCAATTTAGAGAAAATGGAAAGTATATTATGTTCAGAAAGTTGTAATAATTTTACTCTATTAAAAATACACATGAGGGCAGTGCCTGTGGCTCAAGGAGCAGTGTGCAGGTTGCATATACCAGAGTTGGCAGGTTCAAACCCAGTCTCTGGTCTACGGACAGTAGAATCTAAAGCCAGCAACCAAAAGCCTACAGACAACAGTTTGACAATGAAGATAACGGTGAACCTTCTGTCCTTATAATATGCTAATTAAGTGCATTTGTGTCTCCGGTAAAAGCTGGGGCTGTGTAGTGATGAATAAGAACTTTAAACACACATGACACCTCGTTAAAATGTAATTTTCATATCATATATCTCAGCCCTTTACTCTGACAGCTGAGTAATGTGAGTGCTGGGCAGAGAACCCTGAACATTCTGAAACTGTCACGTGGCTGATAGGTGGCCGGAGCTGATTCCTGAAGGCTTTGGTTAAACCTGGTGCAGCCCAGTCAGAACGTAGAGGGATCTTACCTTAAATGGAACTTGTCCTCAACCTGTGGGGACGATTCCCTCCCATTTCCACTTGAGATGCCACAGCATCTCTGAAGTTTAATTTACATCTAGCCTAGTCACTTAGTGAACTTTATAAAGAAAAAAGAAAAAAGCAGTCAGCAACTTGTTGCTAATTGCAGCCCCGTCTGTATTTTTGTGCGTCAGCTGCTTCCTTGCCTGGGTGGAGCCCCTGCTTTTCCTCCTCAGCAGCCCCCTCATTGCCCACAGCAACAGCTGCGCCTGAAGGTCATTGCTGCTGCTGATTTTTCAGGAAGCAAAGCCCAAACTTGCAAAATTTGCAAGAGCTATTCCATTGCCACATAATATCCGCTGAATCTTCTCTTACTTTTTTTTAACCTTTGCTGGATTTTTCTTTCTTCTTAAGTGAGGGGGAAAACGTTCCCGAATGATGTCTTCTGCTTTTCAGGTTCTGAGTGTAGAAACCACAGCCCTGTACCAAGCTCAGCTGCCCCTTCCTTTATATAGCCGGACCCAGGGTTTGCCGTTAAGCTAATAGCTGGGTGACCTTCATCGTGGATGACACAGGGCCAGGGAGGGAAAAGGTTCACACTTGCATAACATTAATTTTTTTTTCCTACAGAGCCATGTCCCTGATAAACGTGTAATTACTAGAAAAGTAATCTAAATCATTTCGACACGTAATTCACAGTCATCCCACGACGACTTATTTGTGAATCAGCTTCCTTCTCAGCCCAGCTGTCCTTTCTCTGGCGTCTCACTGCTCATCAGCAGGCCCACCGGAGGGCAGGCAGGGGGGACTGAAATAGTTCTGCTGTGCTTTATTAGCACAGCATGGAAGGGCTGGTAACAGTGG